CCTTGGAAGCAGGGTCTCTGCAGATGTGACTGAGTTAGGATCTTGTTGAAATCGTCCTGGGTGACCCAGCAGGCCCTGAATCCAGGTGTGAGGGGGGTGCGGGCGCACACGCGAGGCAGGTACCAGGCCTGCAGGGTCAAGGAGGTGGTTAAGGATACTGATCTGATGAGCGTGACAAAAATACCTGTCATTCATCTAGTGCCTACGATATATGCCAGTCACTAACATACTTTATTTTTATTCACAAGAATCCTAAAATCCAGATACAATGTTTACAAATTTACAGGAGAGAAAAGTCACGTAAAGAGAATCAAGGGCCAGACCAGAATTCAAGGCAAAATCTCTGCATATTCCTGCCTGGCCACAGCCCTGTGACAGTGACACCGGTGTGACTGTCACACTCAGGACTGTGGCCGGGACAGAAGGAGCCGCAGCTGGAATCTCCGTGTGACACGTCCTGGCCCACACGGACGCACACAGATGCGGAGGGACGGGGAACCAACCCTGTGCTGCCTAAGTCTGCTCGGTCCCTGAGCCCAGGGAAGAGAGCGCGGAGAGCAAGGAATTCACATCCGTTTGGTTCTTCGGCTGGGGATGGCCAATCGCGACAGCGTGACACTGAAGGTTCATTCAGAAATGAGCAGACTTCTTCCAGTCCCTGAGCTCAGGCAGCTAGAGGTCAGTTGACACGCGATCCCGTCTGCGTGGCTTTCCTGTGTGCTTGCTGTGGGCCTGCAGTAACTCCGTGCGGCGTGGAGGGGGCCCGGAAACCAGGAGCTTCAGGTCACGCTGCTACAATCGGCGGGAGAAACAATGGCACAACTGCGTGTGTGAACACATACATGAAGGCTGTCATAGCATTCAGAGCAAACGTTAAGTCAAAGGGTGTGAACAGCAGTCATTTTTACAAGCAAAGACTGATTGAAAAAGAAAATCACAAAAGCACAGGCTTCAATAGCTCCTGTTGCACAGATTGGCAGGACCTGGGCATGTTTTTAAAAAGGGGTATTTCCATCCAAGGGGGAAAACAGTGAGGGTGCCGCGTGGCGTGCTTAGCGTGAGGAAGACCAGCGGGGCCGGAAGGGCAGGAGCAGGGCTGCGTGGGGGGCGGGGGGCGGGGGGCGTCGCGCACAGAGGCTTGGAACCCACAGGCCAACGGTGCGGTGCCCAGCCTGGCCCTGGGAGCCGGCGGCGGCCTTTGCGCCTGTCTGTCCCACCACTTTCTCTCCCAGGGCCACCCCACCCAGAGTCCCTTTCCTGCCGGAGTCCGGGGCTTTCCGACCGGTTACTCACCCCCCTCCCGGTGTTTGTCCGGCAGCCTCCCCCGCCCGTCTGCAGTTGTTTGGACTTGCCCGGCTTTCGTGTAGCTTCATGCTGATTATGTAAGGAGAGCTTTATGCAACAGCAGGCCCCATTGTCCCAGGCCTGAGGGCTGCACCGGCTCCTAGGACGCTGGTCAAAGTCCCTAACACTCGGAACAGTCAATGCACTGGGGCCGACATGCTCGAGTCTCCCAATGTTCCCCCGCTTTCCAGCTCTGCCTTCCTGGCCCCTGCCTGCAACCCCACAATCAGAGAGCAACTGGAGGCGTGGCCAAAGGCAGGCCACCCTCTGCCCTGAGCAGTAATGCTTTGGGGCCCAATGATGCTTTGGGGTTGAGGGACCGCTGAGAGGCCAGGCAGGGGACGGTGAGGCAAAAGCAGGATTGCGTGGGTCGGTCCCCCACAGCAGAAGCCGAGACAGGATTCCGGAACAGTTTATGTGGGTGGTGACCCCCGACACACCAGGAAGGGGTGAGGGCAGGCAGGAGCCAATACAGCACCGGGGGCCTTGGGGACACGGCGACGCACCTCAGGGCGGCCCACCGGGGCGCGGGGACGCTGGCCACGCATCTCCAACTGCGTCCTCATTGACAAGGGGCTCCCGTCAACCTCCCAGCATGTCCGGCACCTGTGGCCAGACAGAGCCTCCAGGCGGCATCCGGGGACTTGCAGTGGAAGCCATCAGCACGCACAGGACACGGAGCACCCGGGACCCTGTTGTGGTGCTGGCCACAGGCTGCTTCTACCCCAGGCTGGAGAGACAGAGGGGAGGGGGTTACCGGGGCCCAAGGCCCAGGGTCACGCTGCCAAAGCTCCAGCTGCAGAGAGAAGCGACCGCGACAGGAGAGGCCGCTGGAGGCAGCGACAGGGACGGAGAGGCCGGCTTCTCCCTGGCCCCGCGCTGGGCTCCCACCAGAGCACACACTGGCAACGCACTGGGGTCTGGGGCCCACAGCCTCCGGGGTCAGGCCTTCCTGAGAGCTGCGCTCAGTGAGGGGTCTGGGAGCTCACAGGCCCAGCACCCCATGTGCCTCTGAGAGGCTGGGAAGCGAAGCGTCACACAGGAGGCCGTGGCCAAGGCCACAGCAGGGAGTGTCCGAGTGTCCAGCAGACTTGCAGAGCCGAGACTGCCTGGACACACCTGGGTGGTGGTGGGGGTCCCTTTGCCAGGGCCAAGCTTCCCAACTAGCCTCCTGGGACAGCACTGGCCCAGGTCCCCCCATTGTCCAGCATGTTCTTCGGGGCCAGGAAGTCAGTGCTGGGGGGCGAAGGAGGGGCCGGCGTGCCTGGGACGGGCCCTGGGTGACCCCTTCTCCCCAGGGGGGCCACGCTCTTACGTGCGCACTCGGCGGCATTGAGGGGCCACGGCCCCTGTTTACCCTCTCTCTCCAGCTACGCCGGAAGCCGGGGCTTTCCACTTCCTGACCAATCCCAGGCCGCATTCATTTTTATTCCCCAAATAGGAAGTCTTCTGCACCCTCTGGCCAGATGTGTGGGGAGCTGACTTCTTTTCAGCTGCAATTAACCGGCAGGAAGTGTCATTATCTAAATGGACCGACGAAGCGATAAGAAGCCCAAGGAGAAGGCCATCCACAGGCCTTGCCCCAGAGCAGCAGCCGGGAGGCGTGCTGTGGCCGCCAGCAGGGAGGACGGCCCTGGGGGTCTCCCACGCCGCCAGGCCGCTTCTCCGTCTCCTGCACCTCGAGCCTCTGGCCTCCATGGGGTCCTGAGCAGAAAGGGCCCCTCCCCAAAATATTCCTATTTAAAAACATTAGGGTTCAACCTAATATTCCCATGACAGGAAAATTGTTCTAGAAAGAAAAGGTTTCAACATACATCTTAATCGTTGGTCAAAACGATTGGCCTGAGAACACTGAACCCGATGACCCCAGGAGCTGCGTGCGGCTCGGTCTAAGGGGACAGTCACGTCACACCTACGGTTTGAGGGACACATAGGGCAGGCCCACAGCGAAGGACAAAACCTGCCGACGCCCCAGGGAAGATGTTGCTGCCCTTTGTTCTGAATCAGCAGGTCCCCATGCAGATGTGGCCTGAGTGTGTCTGCCGGGATCTCATGGAGAGAGACGGGTCCCTGGCCCCCGAGAGGGCCAGGCAGCTTTGTCCACACTGAGAACACCGTCCACTGTGGTGATGTTATTTGTTGTTGTTGTTGTTATTATTAATCTCTACAGCCCCCACCTCCTGCAGTCCTGCACGTCAACAGGGACCAAGGGGTCCAGGGCTTCAGCCATCAAGTCCCTCTCCTTGGGCATCTAAGGACGTCATCCGGCCTCAGGACGGCAGCAGTGGACACAGCCGGAGTGCCATAGAATCGCGCGGCCACTCAGGAAATGCGCGTGGGCTTGGTGGGGGGTCCGCGAGACACGCTGGTTCTCCAGCCGATGGGCCACACGCACGTGCTGTGTCCTGGTGCAGGGAATGTCGCTGTCCATCCAGCCACCTCGTTTCTGGAAGGTTTGGGGAAAGTGAAGTCTGTCTCCCGAATGCCTCTGGCAACGGGACGAAACCCGCGCCCACTTGCAGCCCCGGGCTCACCTGTGAGCTCACCTGTGCTGATTTGGGAGGCCCTGTCCTACAGGCTGCAGCTGTGCTGGGGTGTCAAGGCTGAGTGTGGGGGGAATGGGCGGCCAGCGGCCCCACAGGGAGATGAGACCCCCCGGTCCCGCTGAGAGCACCTCGAGGTGTGCATGGGGCCACGTGGGGCCTGGCAGAGCCTGTGGGTCCCCTGCGCAGAGCCAGAGGGAAGGGAGGGCCATCTGGGCGGTGACATCCTTAAGCCGGGCCCGCAGCCGACTAGAGACACTGCAGACTCCTCTGCAGGTTTCCTTCTGGGGTGAGCATCCTTCACAAAGGCGGGCGCCCCTGGTGAAGGGCAGGGGTGGGTCAGCTTCCACCCTAGACCGGAGATGGCAGAGGGGACAGCAAATGGGCCTGCTGGGACACAGCACAGTGTTTGCACCGACTGATGGGACAGGCTCGCGTGCCCTCACCTCAGCCCCGGGGGCTGCATGGAGAAGCAGCTGCCCCACCACTGCCCACAGCAGCCCCGTGAGGCGCGCAGGGGACGAGAGCGGAGGTAGGGGCGCTTGCCCCAGACATCGCCATAGAAAGAACAAAGCCAGGACCTCCCCGCTCAGGGCTCCAAGGCCACCAGCCTCTGCCTGCCCTGGCCGCCCAGGCCTCAGGGCTCAAGGAGGGGACGGCGTGTCTGGGGTACACAGCGGTCAGCAGGGGAGCAGGCTTGAACGCAGCCTGTCCGCTTGCCTGAAACCAGGGTGCCTGGGAACGGGCAGGGGCTGAGCTGCTGGGGACCCAGGAGAGCCCCCAGCTCCCTGAGAGTGCAGGCCTGGTGCTCCCCAAGCAAGCCACAGTCCAGGGTGGACACTCCACAGGGGAACAAGTGAAGACAGGGCGGGGGGGTGGTCAGGCAGGCGGGAGGACCTCGTGAAGGGTCAGAGAGGCCCCTGGACCTGGCAGAGGGGGTGGAGGCTGTGTTAGACAGGGCAGGCCAGTGACCCTGCATGGAGAGAGGGTCCCCATCTGCTGCTCCAGGCTGGCATGGTCACCACTCACACCTGGTGACACTCTGTGAGCACTATCCCAAGGCCCATGCCAGGTTCTGCTGTCTCCCATTCCCCAAGTGAGGAGACCCCCTGACCTGGCGTCTGGTGACCAGGGCCTTTCCTTCCAATCTGAGGGTCAAGCCCCAAGGGACCTCTGTCAACATTTGTCACATACTGAGCCCCTGGACCCCAAGCTCTGGCCAAGCCCAAGGCCCCACCTGCATCTGAGCCCACCAGGGGCTCACTCTCAGCCTCCTCCGGGCCCCACTGTTCCCTTCCCCACTCTCAGCCACCAGGTAGGACAGAGGAGCTGGCTCCAGGCCCAGGTGTCCTGTGACCTGCAGGACCGCTGTCACCTGCAGGGCCCAGGGCTGAGCCAGGGGTACAGGGCCAGATACAGCCATCGATGGTCATCAGACAGCCCGTGTGTGAACCTGCAGGGCCGGCCATGTGACCTCATGGGCCACTGTCTCCAGGGTCAGGCCTGCTGTTGTCGCAGCCCTGATTAGAGGAGGTGACGCATCTTCCAAGGGGAGAGCCCAGCCTCTGAGCTGGACCCACCCACACCCAGGGGCTTAGTGCCTGCACCTCACCCAGGACCAGCAAGGCAGAGGGAGGGAGAGGGGAGAGCCGCCCGCATTCCCGTGGAGGGAGCGCCTTCTGCCCTACGGTTTCCTGGGACAAGCCCCACCCTGGGCAGCTGCCCGGGGCTGTGGAGCTGCCAGCTCCCCACTGGGGGAGCAGAGGTGAGATTTCTGGCGGGTTCCCACCCACGCTGCACACAAGTCACTCTGCCTCCAGGGAGAACTACGCCTGACCTCTGTCTGGTGACTGGACCGCCACCTGCAGGCCAAGGCCCAAAGCTGCCTGACAAGTGGCACCAATGTTGCCCACAGGCGCTCCCAGCGTCCTCCTGGCCCTGGAGGTCACACGGCCCCCAGTGTCACCCAGGGCTCTAGCCTCCGGGCCATTCTTCACAGCAGACCAAGACCCCGAATTGAAAAGCCTCAGGGCTCAGTCCTCCTGAGCGTCTCCTGGGCCCCACCGTCCCCAGAGTGTGGCGGTGGACAAAGGTGCGTCTGCAACCTCCAGACCCCAGTCAGCGCAGAAGGGCCGCTGGGCCTCATACCCAAGGATTAGGGCCCAAGGCGGGTGGGGGAGCGGCTGCTCCCCATGGGGGCCCCTTTCCTCCCGCATCTTGGTGTTGTAAAGCACCCAGCAGCCCTCTCACAGGCGATGATTAGTTTAGCAGCTGCCACACCTTCGTTCCTTTATCCCACACCTGCACCCCAGGGTCTCTATCCCACACCTGCACCCCAGGGTCTCAGGAACCGACTCTGCAGTGTCACCGCTTAGCCTGTGAGCGGGGACGTCCCCATCTCACCCGCCCTCACAGGGCCCCTGCAGGGCTGACAGGTCACCACAGCCCCCACTTCCTCTCTCTCCTTCCACTGCAAATAGTCCCCCCCCCCTTCTGTCTGGTGGCCTCCCAGAGTCTCTCTTCATCCCTGACATTCTCTAGATGTGTGTCGAGGACCCTGACCCTGCTCTCTGCCAGGGGTGCATTTTCAATCCAAACGTCGTGTGCTTGAATTCTGGATGCTTCTTCACTATTGTCCCTCCCCATCCTGCTCCTCTGTTGGGGTCCCTCTTAGACATACTGTACATTTTCTCCCCTCCACATGCAGCCTCGTGTGTGTGAGTGTGAGAGTGTGTGTGAGGGTGCATGTGTGTGTGTGAGGTGAGTGTGCGTGTGTGTGTGGTATGAGTGTGTGTGTGTGTGTGTGAGTGTGAGAGTGTGTGTGTGTGAGAGTGTGTGTGTGTGTGTGTGTGTGTACACGTGCCCACACACTTAATCCTGTATCTCTTTTCTCTGTTTTGCACCCCAGGCAGGTCCCTGAGCTCTGTCTTCTGTATCTCTAATCCTCTTTGCAACATGGACTGGCTCCCATCCCATCCTCTGCGATTCTTGTCTCGGTAAGTACGTGTTTCATCTCTAAGAGTTCCCATTTCATTCCTTGCTCAGCGTCTGCCGCTGTGATTTCTCAGTTTCTTTGAATGGACGCAGGTCCCTCACTCGCTTCTTTGAGCATCACAGATGAGGATTTTTATTAGGCACTTCTGTAAATGTGGCCCCACCTGGAATGAATTCATGCTCTGAGTATGGGTTTTTTGGCTTTTTTTTAATTGAGGTGAACTTTATATAACATATAAGTAATCATTTTTAAATGTACAATTCAATGACATTTAATACACTCTCAGGGTAGTGCGACCAAGACTGTTTCTTAACATACAAAATCCCCCTGTGGTTTTAGATTCAGGTTCGCAGACTTTTGAGTAGTTTCTTGTTTTATTAGGCTTTTGCTTCTTTTTGTCTTGCTCTCCACTTTTGTCTAGGAATCGTGCCGCTGCCTCCGCCAGCCGCCGTCCAGTCCCAGGGCTCCTAGCCCACAGCCATCTGGCCGGGTCTCAGGTCACTCCCGCGCGGCCTTATTGCTGCTTCCATGGCATCCTGGAGGCTGAGCCTA